CTCAAAGCTCCGCAGTTAGATTTCCATTCTTTTGCACCCGTTCCATTGGGATTCGCTGAGGGTGCAGATGGCACAGAAACTTTAGGATTAGAGACAAATGGCTGGTTTGCCCGGGGACGGGCAGTTGGGACGTGGTGCGTCCATGAATCAATTTGTCTCTACTTGGCAACTGGCAGCTAATTACCAAATGGCTCCTGAGTCAGGCTTAAAGCTCGCTCTCAAATTAGAGGCTGATTTTTGACGAGTTTTTGGTTCAGTTTGGCTTCTGTTGGGAGACGCACACGTTCACGCCAACACGAGGCTTTGTGAAGCGTTCAACAACGACAACAACAACTTGCTGAGGGAGGGGGAGATGACCGTAGGTGCGGTCGAAGAGGAAGGTCTTTAAGCCGTGACTTCATCAATTCATTTGTAACAAATTAATTAATTAAGTTCCTTGTGTTAATGTCTCGGGCTTTACCCCATTGGGTGGTCACCAGGTTCAGGCTGGGAAGGGGAGCTTGGGAGGACCAGGGACGGTGGTGGGGAGGGAGGGGAGCTCCAGGTGGGGGGGTGGGGGTAAAGGGGAAGGGAGGATCTGAGAGGGACAGAAGGGAAGGATGAAAGCCCAGGATCGTTTAATAACACATTCCCTCGAGCCCCACATCAGGCTTGGAATCACATAGTCTAAGCTGACCCTCCAATGCAGTGCTGGGGGTGTGTTGTGTTGAGGGAAGTGCTGTCCATGAGACATTTAAACCCAGGTCCTGTCTGCCTGTTCAGGTGGATGATAAAGATCCCACGGCGCTATTCGAAGAGAAGCAAGTTTCTCTCTCCCGATGTCCTAGCCAACTGTCACCACACCTTACAGTGTGTCCTGTGAGGCGCTTTGAGACGTCTCGAAGACGTGATAAGGCGCCGCTGTATTAAATGCAAGGATTATTATTGTTATCACCTTGGTGTCCAACGGTAACACGGTGGAAACAGGTGAGGAACCTCTTGGCAGTTTCAAGTCCCAGCGTCTGCTGGATTACCGCAGAGGAACAACAGGCATGAATCAGCCAGTTACAGGCAGCAGCTGAACAACCATTGACGCCTATTCAATTTGCGGAGTCCCAAATAAATCAGAAGGCAACCTAAGCTGCTTAGTCAGATGCACATTTCTTACACTCATCGACGGATGACTGGACTGATCGAAGTTTAATTTTTTAGAAATTTTCCTTATCGCTGAAAGCGTTTGAATCAGCAGTGGGTTTATTGCTGACCCTTTGTATTTTGGGACGAGGCTGTGTGTGTTATTTTCTCTCTCTCTCTCTCTCTCTCTCTCCGCCCTGTGGTGTGAGCTCACTGATCCCGAGCGCTGGCCTTTGAAAATAAATGAGTTAACGATCAAAATGGCTACGGTTGCAGTTTTTTTTTCATATACTATCTGATGCAGCTCCTCGTTGCCTCGTCGCGATGTGTCAAAGCGCTTCACGGGAGTTACCGTAAAGTGGAGTGACTGCGCATTGTCTAGTGGTTAGAGCACTCGCCTCGCGAGCGAGCGAGAGGACCCGGGTTCGATTCCCGAGCGGGGCGAAGCATTGGGCAAGTTTCCTTACTCCACACAAGAGATCACAAGGTCCCCTCTGCCTTGTTCAGGTGGATTGCTCAAGATCCCGTGGCACTGTTCGACAAGAGGAAGGAGTTTCTCTCTCTCTCTCTCTCTCTGTGTTCTGGCCGACAATCCCCCAAATAAAATTGGTCACTCGCCCCGTGGCTGTTTGTGGTGCGTCGCTGAGCGTACTTGGCTGCCGCGTTTCACCCACCAAAGTACACAGTCACTGCACTTTCCAGTGAAGCTCTCCGAGACGTCTCAACGACGTGATAAAGGCGCCGTATTGAACGCAAGGATTATTATTGTCGTCGTTGTTGTTGTTGTCATCAGTGACTGTGCTTTGTGGCAGTTGAGTTGCGCAGTGTGACCTCCCCACGACTCTGACCGAATCCCAGCTCAGCACCTCTCAGCCCTGCTGACCGTCCACCCGGCAGAGAATGGATTAAATGGCAACGACGTGAGTGAGTTAGCGAGAGCTGATAACAAGAAAAAAAACGCTGCAGATTGATTTGGCAGGAGGTGGCGATGCCCAGAGTGAGGCTCGCTCTGCACCCATTCATTATTCATCTGTGAGGAGTTCTTTCTTGCTTTCTCTCCGCCAGTTACATCTCTTGGCCAAAAGTAACAGTCCCCCCCACACACACCCTCCCTCTCTCTCTCTCTCTCTCTCTCTCGAGGCGAGATGTTTGCCCACCTCAGCGGTTGACTGCGAGAATCCTGGCAGGAGTTTTATTCACCACGTTGAGAGCCACGTTCCCCACGAGAATCATTGCCCCACGTGGGAACCCAGCCTCTCAGCGCTGGGGTCTCCGGCACCTTAAGAGCCGTCGTCGCAGGTCTCAGTGGGCTGAATTACCACATCGCGGAGTGGGGGGGCGGAGTGGGGGGGAAAGGGGTAACATGTGGGATGTTTGGAATCCCCCCCCTCCCTCGGGTGGAGTCCTGTAGTGTATTGGTGTATCGAAGTGAGGGGACCCGGGTTTCCTTACTCCGCACGCCTCTGTCTATCCAGCAGTAAGTAGGAACCGGTTGTTAGTTGATTGGCGGATCGCTTTCCAGGGATAATAATCCCTTCAAAGTTCAATGATGTGATAAGGCGCTATATCAAACACAAGGATAATTATAATTAAAGGTGAGCCAGCCAAGATTCACTGTCCACACTTGGATGATCACTCACTTGGTGAGTTACCAGAGAGGCTGATAGGATGCAGTTCCACTACTCCCTGCGTCTCTGCTCTGTTGGAAAGGGACATAGCAAAAGGAGGAGGCCATTCAGCCCCTCGAGCCTGTTCCGCCATTCTATTAGATCAAGGCTGATCTGTACCTCAACTCCATTTACCCGCCTTTGCCCCACATCCCTCGATACCCTGACCCAGCAAACTCTTGTCCAGCTTGAAAATGTGAATGGGGGAAGACGCAGAGTTCCAGATTTCCACGAGGTTTTGTGTGGAGAAAGAAACATGATTTAGATCTTCGAAGAAGGCAAGTAACCGGGCAAGACACCGAGCTGAGCTGCTGAGAGGGCAGCAGAGTGTTCCCAGCTCTGTCCACCTGTCTGTCTTATGTACCGTTCACACTGTCTCCTGCCTGTGTGGCACCTCAATGCTCGCTCTCTCGCCCCTCGCTCTCCCTTTCTCTCTCCTGCTCTTGCTCACCCCGATCTCTGCTCGGGAATGTGGGCTGTCGCAGCACACGGTGAATGAGGTTCTGAGTGAGTGAGAGGGGGAGCGAGAGACAGAGAGAGAGAGAGAGAGAGAGTGCTCTGTGACTGTTGTACTAATGAGAGTCTGGAGTACTGGGAATGGAAAATTCTGATCATGTATTTTTGATCTGCTGCAAACTCACAGTCTCCTCTCACATAAAACCTGCAGAGAGGCTGTTGCAGAACGGAACAGTCTCTCCCCTCAACCTCCCCCTTCCCTTTCCCCCCCACCCTCCAATCCCTATTTCTCCCCGCCACTTCCACAACAATATCGATTTCATATCCGTTCACACAGTCACTACACTTTACAGTATTATTATAATAATAATAATCCTCGCATTTGATACAGCGCCTTATCGCGTCTTCTAGACGTCTCAAAGCGCCTCACAGGATATACTGTAAAGTGTAGTGACTGTGTATTTTGTGGGGAGAAAGGCGGCAGCCGATTGCCCACAGCAGTGTCCCACGAACAGTGGTGGATTGAGGGACCAATTTTTTTTGAATGAATATAAGTACGATAATAATATAGGAAGTATAAGTGTGTCGTTGAAGCACTTTGAGATACTCCGAGGTGAACGGCATTGCATCAGAGGTTGTGATTAGAATCTGCTTTGTCTCACAATGGAAAGGGTTTGGACTTGTTTCTGTACGTGATAACGGTTATTGTCAGCAACATTGTGAGTGGGGTTGAGGGAGAGAGGGAGGGAGGGAGGGAGGGAGGAGGGAGAGGGGAGGGAGGGAGGGGGGAGGGGGGAGAATGAGAGAGAAGGCGAAAGAAGCTGTGAAAGAGATAGAGAGGAGGGAAGGGAGCGATGGAAAAGAGGGAAGAGAGAGAAAGGGAAGTTAGAGAGGGGGAGTGAGAGAGACAGAGGCGAGGGAAGATGGAGGGATGGGAGAGAGATGGAGGGAGAAATAGAGAGAGCTGGTGGGAGAGAGAGATGGAGGGAGAGTGAGCTGGAGGGGGAGAGGGAGTTGGAGGGAGGGAGAGAGATGGAGGGAGGGAGAGAGATGGAGGGAGAGAGAGAGACGGAGGGAGAGTGCGCTGGAGGGAGAGTGAGCTTGAGGGGGAGAGGGAGTTGGAGGGAGGGAGAGAGATGGAGGGAGGGAGAGAGATGGAGGGAGAGAGAGAGATGGAGGGAGAGTGCGCTGGAGGGAGAGTGAGCTGGAGGGGGAGAGGGAGTTGGAGGGAGGGAGAGAGATGGAGGGAGGGAGAGAGATGGAGGGAGAGAGAGAGATGGAGGGAGGGAGAGAGATGGAGGGACAGAGAGAGAGCATTGGAGGGAGAGAGCGCCGGAGGGAGGGAGCGCCGGAGGGAGGGAGGGAGGGAGAGAGAGAGAGAGATGGAGGGAGGGAGAGAGAGAGATGGAGGGAGGGAGGGAGGGAGCGAGAGAGATGGAGGGAAATCACAGAGAGAGCGCTGGAGGGAGAGAGAGAGTGTGGGGCAAGAGGGAGGGGATAGAGATGGAGGAGGGAGCCAGGGAAGAGGGAGGGAGAGCGAGAGAGAGAGAGTGCGAGACAGAGAGAGAAGACAGAGACGGGGGGGGGAGGGAGGATAAATCTGCCTCCAAAACGTCCCATTTTTTCCTGAAATCACATGGACTGAGCGCACCACGTGTCGGATGATCGCAGGCGGGGAATTTCCAGCAAAGCCACAGCCACAGGCACAGGCAGAGAGAAAGGAGAGGAGAGAGAGAGAGAGAGAGAGAGAGAGACACAAAGAGGGACAGTGACTGGGACAGGAGCGAGACAGAGCCGGGCAGAGCCAGGGGCTCGCAGCTCAGGTAAACCTTCCCCGACATCCTCCTATATTTTGGCTTCGCAGAGCGGGGAAGAGGGAGAGAGGGTATTTAAAAGCAGAGAGAAGCAACACTTTGTCCGTTGAGAGCTGTGTTACAGATGAGAGGCAGTCCAACAGCATTGCGCTCTGTGGGTGCGCGCGTGTGTGTGTGTGTGTGTGTGTGTGTGTGTAGTGACTGTGTCCGTGTGTGTGTGTCTGTGTGTGTGTGTAGTGACTGTGTCCGTGTGTGTGTGTGTGTGTGTGTGCGTGCGTGTGCGTGTGTGTGTGTGTGTGTGTGTGTGTAGTGACTGTGTCCGTGTGTGTGTGTGTGTGTGTGTGCGTGCGTGTGCGTGTGTGTGTGTGTGTGTGTGTAGTGACTGTGTCTGTGTGTGTGTGTGTGTGTGTGGTGCGTGCGTGTGCGTGTGTGTGTGTGTGTGTGTGTGTAGTGACTGTGTCCGTGTGTGTGTGTGTGTGTGTGCGTGCGTGTGTGTGTGTGTGTGTGTGTGTGAGATAGAGAGACTGAATCACATTTACCAGTTCACATTATAATAATAATAATAATAATAATAATAATAATAATAATAACATTAATAACAATAAGCCTTGCATTGGATACGCCGCCCGATCACGCCGTCGAGACGCCTCAAAGCGCTTTGCACCGCATACTGCCAAATGGATCGACTGTGCAGGTTGTAGTAATAATAATTTAATAGTAGTAATTGATAAGAATAATTCTTGCGTTTTGCTGTAGCGCCTCATCACGTTCGTCGCGACGTCTCAACAGGATTTACTGTCTTTTTTTTTTTAGTAATGGTAATAATTCTTCCGTTTGATGTAACACCTTATCACATTGTTCCTGTTGAATCTCCAAGGGCTTCAGGGGATTTACTGTGAAGCGGATTGACTGTATATTTTGTGGGGCGACTTTCACCGCACACCTACAAAGCCTGGCACGCAACACAGTGTGGTGCGGAGTGGGTGTGGGTGCGTGGGGTGGGGTGGGGGGGCGGCAGGGAGGGGAGGGGAGGGGACACTGCCTTTAATGTGGCTGGTCTGTGCTTGCGGCTGGGAATATGGCTTTGGCGGAGGTGAAAACAGTTGTCTCCCAGCTCCAGCTTTTTGCTCACTGCATCATTCAGCAGCTATTTGCTGTTTCCTCGCACGGAGGCTGCCTGCCTGGTGTCCAGCGCTGGCTGGGATTATGATAATAATATTAATAATAATCCTTGCATTTGATGGAGCGCCTTGTCACATCGTTCGAGACGTCTTCACAGGAGACAATGCATCAAATGCAAGGATTATTTATGATTGAGAATATTATTACGATGTGAATTGGTGAACGTGATTCGGTCTCTCACTCACACACACACTCACACACAGAGCACAGTGCTGTTAGACAGCGTAAAGTACACTGACTGTGTATTTTATGGGCGAAATGGGGTGGGGAAGGGGAGAATGCTGAATTAATCTACCCATTGCATTAACCTCTGAATCTCAGGGGTTTGAATTGTGACCTTCGAGGTGTGATACTAACAGTGTTGCTGGGATGCTTCAAGTGATGGGGTTTATGTTGACATCCAGATTAATGTTTAAGTCACTGAAAATCCAATTTATTCCCCCCACCCTCCCCCCAACCCACCGGATGGTTTATTTTGCTGCCTTCCTCCACGACACTGAGGGCAGTGGTTCTGCTCTTATAGAGAGCGAGTGAGCGAGTGAGTGTGTGTGCTTATCTGTGTAGGTGTGTGTGTGTGAGAGAGAGAGAATGAGTGTGTGAGATGTGAGGGTGAGTCCAGGCAGTGGCAGAGCCTGTCGCTGAGCCGGGGGAGGTGACCATAAGCACGGCCGAAGAGGAAGGTCTCCAGGCGCGACCTGAAGACGGGGAAGGGATTGAGGAAGAGTGTGCCAGTGTTTCGGGGCACAGTGGCTGAAAGCACGCCCACCGATGGTGGAATGGAGGGAACGGAGGGACAAGCAGGAGTCCGGGGCCAGTCGAGCGGAGGCAGCGGGTAGAGAAACAGCGAGTTGCCGGGAGCTCTCACTGTACTGCAGCCTGAGAGAGTAGATCAGTGTAATACCCTGCACCTGAGGATCCTGCTACAGTAATAATTCCTGCCGGCCGCAGCCAGCTCCGGGGAAGATAATCCCCTATTATTTTTTAGCGATATGCAATTTATGACCGTGTCGTTTTTGCTTTTGCTAGTTTCAGCCCCGGTGTTTACCCTCGAAACTAACCCTCCAGACGCCAGTGCCAGTTCGTGATGATTGGCTGTGTGGGAGACACTGCCGTGTGCAAATGAATGGCTGCCGCGTTTCGCCCACAAAGTACACAGTCAATTCACTCTCCAGTATAAAGAAAATGCAAAATACTGCAGAGGCTGGAAATCCGAAACAAAAACCGAATCTGCTTTTGTTTCACTTTACAGTAGATTCTGTGAAGCGCTTTGAGACGTCTCAACGACGTGATAAGGCGCGATATCAAATGCGAGGATTACATTATTATTATTATTATTATCCATTTGTAAAAGGAAGAGGGCTGGTTAGACCTCAAGGTGGAGAATGGAAACATGTACAGAATTAAGGACGGACACTTAGCAGCACTGAGCTGATGTTAGCACATCTGTGGGCTGGTGTTCATACAATTGTACAGAATTATATAGAATTATACCCGCAGAAGGAGGCCATTCGGCCCATGCTTCAAGTGATGGGGTTTATGTTGACATCCAGATTAATGTTTAAGTCACTGAAAATCCAATTTATTCCCCCCACCCTCCCCCCAACCCACCGGATGGTTTATTTTGCTGCCTTCCTCCACGACACTGAGGGCAGTGGTTCTGCTCTTATAGAGAGCGAGTGAGCGAGTGAGTGTGTGTGCTTATCTGTGTAGGTGTGTGTGTGTGAGAGAGAGAGAATGAGTGTGTGAGATGTGAGGGTGAGTCCAGGCAGTGGCAGAGCCTGTCGCTGAGCCGGGGGGAGGTGACCATAAGCACGGCCGAAGAGGAAGGTCTCCAGGCGCGACCTGAAGACGGGGAAGGGATTGAGGGAAGAGTGTGCCAGTGTTTCGGGGCACAGTGGCTGAAAGCACGCCCACCGATGGTGGAATGGAGGGAACGGAGGGACAAGCAGGAGTCCGGGGCCAGTCGAGCGGAGGCAGCGGGTAGAGAAACAGCGAGTTGCCGGGAGCTCTCACTGTACAGGGACGGATCTGCAGCCTGAGAGAGTAGATCAGTGTAATACCCTGCACCTGAGGATCTTGCTACAGTAATAATTCCTGCCGGCCGCAGCCAGCTCCGGGGAAGATAATCCCCTATTATTTTTTAGCGATATGCAATTTATGACCATGTCGTTTTTGCTTTTTGCTAGTTTCAGCCCCGGTGTTTACCCTCGAAACTAACCCTCCAGACGCCAGTGCCAGTTCGTGATGATTGGCTGTGTGGGAGACACTGCCGTGTGCAAATGAATGGCTGCCGCGTTTCGCCCACAAAGTACACAGTCAATTCACTCTCCAGTATAAAGAAAATGCAAAATACTGCAGAGGCTGGAAATCCGAAACAAAAACCGAATCTGCTTTTGTTTCACTTTACAGTAGATTCTGTGAAGCGCTTTGAGACGTCTCAACGACGTGATAAGGCGCGATATCAAATGCGAGGATTAATATTACATTATTATTATTATTATTATCCATTTGTAAAAGGAAGAGGGCTGGTTAGACCTCAAGGTGGAGAATGGAAACATGTACAGAATTAAGGACGGACACTTAGCAGCACTGAGCTGATGTTAGCACATCTGTGGGCTGGTGTTCATAGAATTGTACAGAATTATATAGAATTATACCCGCAGAAGGAGGCCATTCGGCCCATCGTGTCTGTGCTGGCTCTTTGAAACGAGCTTCTCAAATCAATCCCACTCCCCCCCCGTCGCACCGTTTTAGGCTCAGCTTGAGATTGGAGTTGATTGGTTGCCACAGAGCCTGGAGAGCACACAAATGCATTCCAATTCATGACTTAATGCAAATTGTAAACCATGTACTGTTTTGTAATTCATTCTTTAATCAGGTATTTCCAGCTGGAGTTGTGGGAAGAACGCCAGGACTGAATCCTTCCAGTCTGTCTGCCAGCCTGGCACAGTCGCTCACACTCTCTCTCCCTCGCCTGAGTCAGAAGGTTGTGTGTTCAATCCCCCACATCAGGGCTTGAACTCACCGTCTAGGCTGATTCTCCAGTGCGGTGCTGGGGCGTGGGGTGGGTGTTGCATTGTCGGAGGTGCCGTCCTTCGGGTGAGCTGGTAACCCGAGGTCCCGCCTGCCTGTTCAGGTGGATGCTGTTCGAAAAGAGAAGGGTTTTTTTCTCTCCCGGTGTCTCGGCCAACAATCCCCCAGAAAAAATTGGTCACTCACACCATGGCTGCTTGCGGTACATTGCTGTGCGCGGTTTGGGCTTCTGCGTGTCGCCAATTAAATGACACAGTCACTCCGCCTTACAGTAAATCCCGGGAAGCGCTTTTAGACGTCCTCCCGACATGGAAGGGCATCGTTATTACGAGGAGCGCTTTGCAATCGAGCGAGTGATCAATGAGAGGAGGCATTAAATGGCATCTGGTGCATTGTTGTCCAGGACACGTGGAGAAATTTCCTTCTCTCTTTCAAAGCATCTCGGGAACAAGCAGACGGAGCCTCGAGTTTATATCTCATTTAAAGGTTGCAATACAAATTCACGCTCATATTTTTATTTATCTTCTAGAGTTGATAGACCTTACAGCGCACTTTCAATTATCACCGCAGCAGCTTTGTTGGCAGATTAAACCTCATTACAGGTTATTAATTATTATTATTATTATAAATTTGGGTTTGGAAAACCTTGGAGAACAAGAACGTGGTTTATGAAACAATATGAGAGATAATGTCTAAGAGCTCTTGACAAACGGCGGAACGATCCTGTGCTTAATGGAAACACGTGAGGAAACCAAGTGTTGCCCAGTACATTGCCAGGAGAGCCCGTGAGCTGATCACTTGCCAGAGATTTACTATTACCATTAGCGACTGAGTGCTGCACGTAATTGAAATCTTTTTTTTAACTGCTAAAATGTCAGCTTCTTTTCCACTTAAATAAAACTTAGGTAATTTGTGGCAGGACTTGGAGGTTGAAAGAAGCCACACGAAGAATTATTCACATCCAGCCACTCTCTCCAATCCACCCGCCCGCCATTTTTCTCAGTTTTCTTGTCATATTATGGCTGAAATCATTCTTTAGCTCCTTCTTGAATTTGGTTCAAGCTTCGAGTCTCCAGAGCGAAATTAGGAGATAATTATGTGGTGACTTGCCAATTGTCTACGAGTCTGTGGCCTTTAACTCCAGTCTTTGGAGTCTCGATAGACCTGAGCCAACAATCCTGCTCTCTAATGCATTTGGGTTCAATAGTTTTCAGTCCAGTGTTGTTTGGGTTTAGCTGCTTTGAGTATACAGTACAGCAGTTTACACAACAACAACTTGGATTTATATAGTGCCCTCCACGCAGGATGGTGTCTCAGAGCTTCACAATAACGGATCCCAGGGTGAGGAGGGGGGAGAAGGTGACCAAAGGCGCGGTCGACAAAAAAGGTCTTCAGCCGAGACCTGAAAATAAGAAGAGAGGGGGCGAGGTAAAGGGAGTGAGGAAGGGAATTCCAGAGCCTCGGGGCATAGTGGCTGAAGGCACGGCCGCTGAGGGTGGAGCGGAGGACTCGGGGGACAAGGAGGAGGCCAGACCCGGAGGAGCAAAGGCAACGGGTACTGTTGTGAAGAGAGAAGGTCAGAGAGGTCGGGGGGTGCAGAGAAGTGCAGGGACTTGAATACGAGGGTGAGGATCTTGAAGTCGATCCTCTCTGGGATAGGGAGCCAGTGCAGTCTGGCCAGGACTGGGGTGATCGGGAGAGGTGTTTGGTGCGGGTAAGAATGTGGGTGGCAGAGTTTTGTAAGACCTGGATTTTATGAAGGTTAGCGGAGGGGAGACCGGGCAAGGAGGCGTTTGAATAGTCCGACCGAGAGGTGACAAAGACATGGACCAGGGATTCGGTGGCTTTTGGGGTGAGATATTGCCGGAGACGGGCAATGCGTCGGAGGTGGAAGAAAGCGGTGCTGGTGAGGGACCGGATGTGGGAGAGGAAGGATAATTGGGGGTCGAACCTGACGCCTCGGATTAGTTTATCCACACTAATTGTGATGAAACCCATTGTGGAGAAGCAGACAGTACAGATAATCGGTCATCGTCATTCAAAATGCAATACGACAACAAGTTAATTTTGTACAGCGCCTTTCACGTCAGGAGGACATCCTAAGGTCCTGGATAGTCAGGGATTTGGACCCGAGCCGGAGGGGTTGGGATCAGGAGGGGTGGAGGGCAGGAAAGCCCGACTATTTCTTTGTGATGTGCACTTTCTCACACCAGAGCTACACGAGAATTAAGAGCCCACTAAGTGTTGTGTAAATTGTGCTGGAATATTTCTGTTTGTGAAGGTGTTCCCAAGCCCGCTCCTATATAGATATATTTATCTTGGTGGGACAGGGCGGGGCCTCTGGACTGGGTGGGGCTTTGGGACCGGGCGGGGCCTTTGGGAACTGGGTGGGGCTTTGGGTCTAGGCGGGGCATCCGCACAGGGCGGGGGTTCATCTGATTGGCCTTGGGTTTGCAGTTCTCCCCCTCCCCCCCACCCCAACCCTGCCTTGTGGGAGATCAGTTGAGAATCAATGACGTGGGGCTTGAACCCACAACCTCCTGACTCCGAGTTGAGAGCGCGACTCGCTGAGCCAGGCCCAGACATGATCTGAAAGAGTCCGTTGTGTTTCCTCTCCAGACGGCGTCGGCCCCGAGCGGATTCCAGCCATGACTGACGCTGTGTTTGGGAACAACCCCGACCGCTGGGTCTGCCCTAACGATCGGCAGCTGAACCTGAGAGCGAAGTAAGTCGCGTCTCTTTATCAACGTCCCCCTTATCAACACCGGCACGTGGATCGCGCTTCACCTCACTTCCATATCCACTGCACGTAACACTTGAGTCATTCGTTCATTCGTTTTCCTCTCTCTCGCTCTCTCTCCCCGGAAGGATACACCCTCCTTACCTGATTCCGGAAGGTATTAGGCGCAGGTTGGTAAGAGTCGAGGCTTAGGGGGGATCGCAGAGCGTGCGTTGGGATAACCGCTGGAGCCTAAGCAGCTAAAAACGTTTAACTTGCCGTTGATGTTGCTGTCTGGCCAAGCTTGACTCGCTGATGGTCCAATTTCAATGACTGCAGGAGCCGTTGATTTACAGAGCCACGGGGCGAGGGTTGACTGGTGTGTTTGGAACGCACTGTCCCTGAGCCCAGGGAGTGGTGTGTCGGAGGAGCACTGTGGCTGTCACTCTGGTGTCTGGGGGTAATTCAACACCAAACTAAATTACACAGGAAAGTGGCCTTTTTTGGCTGCTCCACATTCCCCCCCACCCCCCCCGGAGGGCTCCATTTCCTGTGTAATTTTCGGCTGTTCCACATCTGAGCCGGAGTCGGTTCGGGATTTTGCTGAAGTTTGACAGCGTTGAAACCAGGTCATTCATCCCGAAGAGACTGCCACAGAGAACTCGAGTCGAGGACTGGTGGTGAAAGTCTTTTGTCTCTTCGCGAGACGTAAACCTTCGAATAGACAAGTCCGGGGCGTGATTATAGCGCTAATTCGCTCGCGCACCACAGTTGCAGTGCGAACCCACCCGGGGCAGAAAGTGAACTCAGCGAGCGTCGGCTTTTGACGGCCTGGGAAGACGGCCATCTTGAGCTGCCCGCGTCAAAGGGGAGGCCGACTTCCGGGTGGTCGGGTGAACCGTTGACCCAGATGTCGGCCATCTTTTGTTGCGCTGTAGCTCTGAGATTACCCCCACGAGCTGCCCCTCCGGCTCCCTGCCTCGGAGCTGAATCGGTTGCTCCTTTCCTCAGCCGCGCATCCCGAAGCAGCGCTCTTGCGGGTCGAAATGCGGCACGGTCAGGTCAAACCAACCGCCGACGCGTGCCGGCCACCATTCATTTCACGTTCGACAGGCGTTGCATCGGTCCCGGCCGCGCTCGTGCATGCCCGGGCGGCCGTCTGCACGTTTCCAGGCGAATAAGGCGGCGCGGCTGCCGGACCCGCACGTACGGACTGCGTCGTGATTCTGCGTCGTTCGGTGAATGAATGAATGAATGCATCACGCTTAGCGAAAGAGAGAAAGAGAGAGAGCGAGAGAGAAAATTCTGTGCATGTGATGTCTATTCTGGTGTTGAGGAAAAGCCCACGGGAACACAGGAACATTAAACATTTAGTGGGTTTCTTGTTCCCGACTCTGCACCGCCAAATCGAATCTGAATAAGAAGACGTTATCAAAGCAGCGTTCACACTGAGCGAGCAAACCTGCGGAGGCACTCAGGTCTGTGATGAGTTTTGTTACCAAAGATTCTGAATGAGGAGTGACGCAGGGAGGAGGCGGCGAGCGTGAGGAGGTCCTTTGCTGCCCTGGTTTGATGACTGAACCGATGTGTGGCGGAGATTGCTGATAACTCGCGCACCGGATACGGAGCGAAGCGTAGAATCGTTGAATTTTACAGTACACAAAGAGGTCATTCTTTGAAAGAGTTACCCAACGAGTCCCACTCCCCCGCTCTCACTCCGCAGCCCTACAATTTTTTTTTCTTTCCGAGGTATGATAATAATAATAATAATAATTCCTTCGAAAAAATTAGTAATAATAAAATTGGTTACTTCAACCCAAGACTCTTTAGCGTGTGCGCTGCTGCGTTTCGACCACAAACTATACAGTCAAGTTCGCTTTACGGTACATTCTGCGAAGCTCTTTGAGACGTCTTGAAGATGTGATAAAGCACTGTATCAAAATGCAAGGATTATTATTATTATTATTATTATTATTATTTACCTAATTCTATGCAATTCCCTTTTGAAAGCTGCTATCGAATCTGCTTCCACCACCCTTTCAAGCAGTGCATTCCAGACCGTAACAAATCTCCGGGTAAAACATCTCCCCTCGTCTCTCCTCTGGTTCTTTTGCCAATTATCTTAAATCTGTGTCCTCTGGTTACCGACCCCCTCCCCACCTCCTCCCCCCTCCCCCCCTCCTCCCCCCCCAGAGGAAACAGTTTCTCCTTATTCACTCTTTCAAAAAAACCCTCTTAAATTTGAAGACTTCTATTAAATCTCTCCGCAACCTTCTCTGCTCTATGGAGAACAATCCCAGCCTCTCTCGTCTCATAATCGTCAGCCTCTCTCGTCTCGCACATAATTGAAGTCCCTCATCCCTGGTAACATTCTGGTAAATCTCCTCCGCACCCACTCCAAGGCCTTGGTATAACTCACACGCGGGATACAGGGCACAGTGAGGATCAGCTTGTGTGTGGGCAGCTGTTTTCTTGAATGACCAGCGGCTGGTGAGCGGGAACCAGGGCTCCGGAGCCCAACCCATGTGTTGGCTTCAGCGTCTCCTCAAACAGAGTTTGCCTCATCTGAATTCTGGGCTTCTCCTCAACCCAAGAATTGACAGTGTGAAGCTACAGCTTCAGTGAAAAGGCAATTTCACCTCTTTCTCCTTTCTCTCTCTTTGCTGAAACCTACACATAGTGAGAAGGAACAGTAAGTACAATGTTGTTTCTCTTAACTCTTGCTCCTTTACTCGTGATCTCTACACGCGTTACACAGTACAATACCGCAGCGCCTCTCGTGTTGGAAGGGCAGAAACGACTTGCGTATACACAGCGCCCCCTCACGCAGGGTAGCGTCCCAGAGCGCCTGACTGTGGCGGAGCAGGACGCCGAGCCGGGGGGGGGGGGGGCGGTGACCGTAAGCACGGTCGAAGAGGGAGGTCTTCAGGCGCGGCCCAAAGAAGGGGAAGGAAGCGAAGGGATTGAGGGAGTGTGTTCCAGAGTTTCGGGGCGTAGTGGCTGAAAGCGCAGCCACCGATGGTACGAGGGACGAGCAGGAGGCTGGAGCCAGTCGAGCTGAGGCAGCGGGCGGCGGAAGCAATTCAGTTCTTCGAACGGTATCATTTGAAGAACATTTCTTGCCGGAAGTTGTTGGGCGGCGCTGGCTGTTTGCCTACCGCGCTGCCTGTTACGTAATGTTCGGTTATCTCGGGTTGCTGCGGTTTATGGTGTGAAGGTCCCAGCCTGAGAGGAGAAGTTTCGTGTTGCGTCCCTTTCCAGCAATCGTGAAACTCTGTCCCCGGGACGAGCAATTGGCCATGGAGGGTAATCGATGGACTGGGCAGGTTGCCAGGAGAGCTGATGGAGGCCAAGACAGTAGAACTCATTTAAAGAGCAGCTTAATGGTGTGATAAGAGGTTGATCAAAGGGTATTCTTCATCCCAACTGATCTTGTGAAAATAATAATAATAATAATAATAATAATAAATCCAGTGGTTCATTAACTTTTGGGTAAAGATATACCTCCTGGTGCCTGTCCTACAATTGTCCTTTGCAACTTTAACCTGTGTTGCCTTGTTTTGCTCTCTTGGAGCATCATAATAATAATAATAATAATAATAATAATAATCCTTGCATTTGATATAGCGCCTTGTCACGTCTTCGAGACGTCTCAAAGCGCTTCACAGAATATACTGTAAAGTGTGGGCGAAACGTGGCAACCAATTGCATCTCAAAATATAAGCCAAGTCTCTGGGTTTACCGTTGCAATCCCATTTAAAATGTTACACTAATCCTTGCATTTGATATAGCGCCTTATCACGTCATGGAAACGAAAACAACTTGCATTTATATAGCGTCTTTCACGCCAGGCGCGGTCTCGGAGCACCTCACAGAATACACTGTAGAGTGAATTGACTTCACACACAGCAGATATATACACACGTTATTTACACGCACAACCAGACCTAACTGGGATCAGGGATGCTGCTGGTCTGTACTTCAGGGAGCATATTACAGGGAATCAGCCATTTAATGCAACATTAAACAAAGAGAAAGGTTTGGAGAATTCCTCTTACAGGGAAGGGATATTAGACATCGAGAACCCTATTAATTCTCTTTAATTCCCCCTCTGCATTTCTGATGACTGTAATGAGTTCTGATAGACGTTACGCCTCAAGGCTTTTCGCTTTGGTTTCGGGATGTTCTCAGTTTATTGAGATTCAAGCGAAGATTGTTAAATAGATTACAGACTAGAGCGAGGCAGCAGAAAGCTGTCACTTGATCTCAGGATTCTTACAATGCTCTGACCTACTTGAGCTTTGTTCCCTTTATACCAGCTAAGATCATTTATTTTCCCCTCCAATGCTTCTCCATCTACTCTCCTGGAGGGTCTGACTCCTGATGGATGTATTGCTAAATACCCCGATCGCCCTCTTGTAAATCAGCCCAAGTGATTGTGCGTCATCTGTCCGTGGCTGGTGACTGTTTGATCATGACTGAAGAGCTTCCCCCATCACTTCATACTCCCGTCACTCCATATCCCCATCATCCCAGCCCTCGCCAGGCTTCACTGGCTCCCCCTCACAGAATGGATTGATGTCAAGATCCTCTCGCTCGTCTACAAACCCCTTCACGCCCCGGCATTTTCCCTACCTTTCTGACCTCCTGTCTCCCCACCCCACTACCCACTGCCTCCGCTTGGCTGGCTCTGACCTCCTGCTCGCCCCTCGATCCCCATCGCTCCACCATCGGCTGGCCTGCGTGAAGGGCGCTATATAAATGCAAGTTGTTGTTGTTGTTGTTGAGAGGGCTACCAGCTGAGCCAGGCTGACGGTAGTGAACAGAAGAGCTGCGTTTTTTTGTTAAACAAGGAGCTGGGGAGAGAGTGGCGGGGTGGGCGGGCTGGGGTGGGGGGGGGGGGTGGGGTGCGGGGGGGAAGTCTGCTGAACAACACCCTCCCGAGGCAGCCACTGAAAAAAAAAATCTGCTCCAAGTACTTATTAAATATGCATCAGGGAAGCTGATTGCAAAGCCTGGAGAGAGATCTTGCCTTTCAAGATTGCAGTGGCAGCTGCATCCTACAAAATATAATCCCTCGTAGCCTTAACAAAGTCATATCATTTCTATTCTGCAAATGAGCAAATTCTCGCAGGGACTGTGAGCAGCCGCTGGCATTTACATAAGCTCTGAAAGCAGCTGAAGAGAATAGATGTCTCCCCCTCTGCAGCCGCGCCATGATCATTACCCACTGCTGTCATTGAGATTGGTACCACTCACACCCAACGGGTTCCTGCAATGTTTCCACTGCGCCCGACAGAATTTAGTTACACCCACAAAAATACCCAGTCACTACCCTTTACAGTGTATTCCATGAAGTGCTTTGAGACGTCTCAAAGACGTGATAAGGCAGGCGAGGTATCGAATGCAAGGATTATTATTATTATTTTAATAGGAGGAGCTCAGCCCAGATAAATCACCTCCCAGATTGCTGGACAGTCAAGGATTTGAACCCGAGATGGGGGTTGGGACCAAGAGGGGTGAAGGGCGGGGAGGGGTGGAGGGCATCAAGGGTGGGGGCAGGAGTGTGACCGAAGGCACGGTCGAAGAGGAGGGTCTTGAGATGGGCCTTGAAGGGGGCAAGGGAGGGGAGCGAGGCGAAGGGACTGTGGGATGGAATTCCGAAGGGTGGGGGCAGGAAGGCCGATGGTGGGGCAGGCCGGAGCCCGCTGAGCGGAGGGAACGGACATGTCTATATGGGTCACAGAGGTAGGGAGGAGCAAGGCCGTGGAGGGCTTTGAAGGCGAGGGCGAGGATTTCGAACTCCTCGGTGTATCCTAGAATAATTGTTTGGGGTTTACTTCTTCAATCCCATTTAAAATTCTGATCAGTTCCTTCACAGATTGGGATTAAGGAACTCTCTCTTCACTTTCACTCCTCTCCCCCGTGACGACTGTCTCATTAAATATCCCCAAGTCCAGTCCAGAGAGGACATAATCAATAGAAAAGGATTACTTTGGGGAATTTGTTCATTTTGTGATATTGATTTCAGTCCAGCAGGGAGGGAAGCTGAGGTCACAGCCTCAGACATATCTATCCCAAAAGCCCTCTTTTCATCATATTGGCTTTGACACTAACTCTCCTCCCCCCACCCCACCAATTCCACTCCCCATACTCCTCCCCATCCCCACCCCACAAAGGTTGGTCTTAGAATATAAATCTTACCCCCGAGGAGTTGGTTTAGCCGGACAGCATCATAAAGTCAGTCTCTTTGGTTTAAGACGAGATTGCCAGTGACACCACCTGTTGTAAGATAATAATCCTTGCATTTGATATAGTACCCCCGGAAAGAGCGGGGTGAGTGGGACTAGTTGGACAGCTCTTCTAAAGAGCCAGCACAGGCACGATGGGCCGAATGGCCTCCTTCTGTGCTGTCGGATTCTATGAAACCCCTTCTCGTTTACATCGAAACAATCCGAACCCTTCCATCCCATTTACTCTTCCCTCTGTAGAATTCCAACGGCCAAATTTGCTCCCAACTTCCCTGACACTGACTGAGTGCTGAGAGGGATTTGAGAGTGATCCAGATTCACAGACAGGTCAATCTGTCCACCCTGGCGTCGCGAGGGTTAAACTCGACCCCTCGTTCTCATCACAGGCTGAACCCGGGGAGACCTATTAAGAACCTGAATATGCTCGGGACAGTCACAAAGCCATTAACCCACATACTTTTCATAGTTCTCAATCCCAGTTACCTGTCACCTCAATGTCCCTCAATCCCTTTTCTGTCTAGAAATACATCTTGAACTAATTCATACCGTCTGCACGAATGTCATTCCCTGGTAACTTACCCACAACTTTCTCCTTCGCGGGTGTTAGTCGGTTGGTGAATTGCTTTCCAGGGGTAATAAATAAACCCTTAAGAAAAATAATAATTTGGTCACTCACTCCATGACTATTTGTAGGACACTTCTGTGCGCAATTGGCTGCCGCGTTTCACTCCTAAAATATATTTTGCGATGAGAGCCGTGAAGCACTTTTCGACGCTGTGAAAAGGCTATGTATCAAATGCATTATTATCTCGAGCCCAACCCCAACACACACACACACACACACACACACACAGTTGCCCACTGTGACACTCTTCCCCCTTGTACACCGATCATTTGCCGAGCCGTTTAATTCTGCGTTGCCGTCCGCTGTGAATTCGCTCAAAATATATTTTTTGCTGCAAAGTTTTTTTTTCCTGTTTGCATTGTGCAGCCATTGATAATTTATAATGTGTCATTGAGGTTCGGAGTCTGCTGATGTTCTGGCTTTCCCCTCCAGTGCGAGTGAGGCTCTAATGGATCTTAATAGCACAAAGCTGGCCCGAGGACAGGGCGAGACTGCTGCCAATTCTCTGCGGGCAGAGAAACGCTGTTTAGTTTTTAATGTGACCGGAGCCTCCGCCAACAGGGAATTACTGATCGAACCCGTCAGGGTTCTGTACCTGGAGGGGATGGAAAGCCATGTCCCAACCACCTGTTAGCTATGCCGACCCGTGCTTGTCTGCCTTCCCAACTCTTTCCTCTGCAACTGCAGATCATTCAGAACTTGGCAGCTCAGGTCCTCTCCTGCAGCAAGATCCGTGACCCTATCATTCTCACCCTCGCCCGGCTCCACTGGCTTCCCATCCCCCAGAGGATAGAGTTTAAGATCCTCAACCATGCCTTGAAAGCCCTCTACAGCCTTGCTCCTCTCTACCTCTGAGACCTGTTAACTCCATGTAGATCTCCGCGCTCTGCAGGCACTGGCCTCTTCCACTAGCGGAGGTCACACATTCAGCCTCTCAGCCCACATCCTCTGGAACTCCATCCTGGAGCCCCTCCGCCTCACCCCCCCCCCCCCCCACCTCCTTCAAGGCCCATCTCAAGACCTTCCTTTTCGACCATACCTTCGGTCATCTTCTCTCTTCCACCCTCCCTGCTCTCCACCCCTGTCTGATCCCAACCTGTCGCTCGAACCAAGCGCCTTGGAACGTCCTCCCGATGTGACAGGCGCTGTCCTGCAGTTGTTGTCTCAGTTCCTCTCCCTCGTAACCTACATAGTGCTCTGAGACCCTACTCTGCATGAGGAACGCTATATAAATAGTCATGTTGTTGCTGTTTTGTACATTATGGCTGTGATCGGTGGAGCTATTCCGGGCCCCGTTACTAACCTCTGTCTGACGCGGTGTGACAGGCTGGGTGCCGGCTGGTCGGTTCACACCAACAAGACCGAGAAGGAGAGAAAAAATGAGGAGCTGACGGAGGAGGAGAAGGCGATCATCAACAATGTGATCGCTCGCGCTGAGAAAATGGAGGAGATGGAGCAGGAGCGGATCGGGTAGGTAACGGCAATCATGGGGTTAATGAACTTGCTCGTTTGGGACTCCCAACTTCCTATTGGGGACCCCCATCATCCTGTTGGGGACCCCCCACTTCCTATTGGGAATCCCCACTTCCCGTTGGGAATCACCCATCTTCTTGTTGGGAACCCCCCATCTCCTGTTGGGAACCCCCAACTTCCTATTGGAGATCACCCATCTTCCTGTTGGGGAACCCCCACACTTCCTGTTGGGGACGCCCAACGTCCTGGGTACCGACTGCCTAAAAAAAAACGGTTGCCGTCCTTTTCCAGGCGGCTGGTGGATCACCTGGAGACCATGAGGAAGAACGTTCAGGGGGACGGGCAGTCTCGCTGTATCCTCTGTGGGGAGCAGCTGGGCCTTCTGGGATCCCACGCTGTGGTGTGCGAGGACTGTAAAAAGGTAAAGCTCGAGCCCCGAGGAACCGCCATCGCTAACCCGGGCTCTGTACCGTTACACACGTCTGCCTTACCCTCCAGTTTCTCAGCGTCTCGCTCCCAACGGCTCCACTGCTGGTTGTTCATCAGCCCGGTGGTGGCTTCCAGTCTCGTGCACAATGGCTGACGTCACGATTGAACAATGGCGCTGTCAGGTGGCACTGTCACTGCAAGTATGACCTCTCCTGGACGTCCGTATACACACACACACACACACATACACACGTCGCTTCCCAGTTCAACTCACTCAGCGCAAACCATGTTAACAGACCATCAACACTGAAGCCTCCCAGCTGTGCCTGGCTCAGGGTGTCTGCCGCCCACTGAGTTACCAGTGCCACCCGCTGACCTGCTGTTTTATTCGCCGGGACAGGCTCAGTGAAGCCAAGCCTCTTCGTCCGTGAAGGTTTTTCTCTCCTTCGTCCCCAGAACGTTTGCACCAAGTGTGGGATCGAGACCCCGAACCGCCCCGGGACCGTGTGGCTGTGCAGGATCTGCAGCGAGCAGAGAGAGGTGGGTGGTGCATCCGTTCGTTCCCTGGGGCAGGGGGGCGCGATGGGGGGGGGGGGGGGGGCAGCACTTTGGAGGGAAGAGGGAGAGAGTGAGTAAGCGAGGAGGTTTCTTGGATCGGCAGAGGTGTTAGCAGGCGGCAGGTCTCGGGGACCTGAATGGCTCCTCTCTCTTTCTCTCTCTGGGTAAGGGAGAGAGAGAGAGAGCGGTCCCCAAATCTGCGGATGATTCTAAACTCGCGGCGGTTGTTAACGGAGACAAAAACGAGCGTGGAGCGGAGGCTACGGGCAGGGAATTGACAGGCCGGTGAAGCGGGTGGGTTTCGGGAAAATGGCATCCGTCAAAGCCCCGCGTCCTCGCGAGACGATGGTAATCAGCGGCCGGGCGGAGGTGCGAACACTGACATTAACACAGTGGGTCGGACGGACGGGCTCAGTGGATTTCTACGGGTCGAGGGCTTTTGCTGATCGAGATATTTTCTCCGTGCGCTGCAGGTGTGGAAACGCTCCGGGGCCTGGTTTTTTAAGGGTTTCCCCAAACAGATGTTGCCGTCCCAGATGCCGCTGGCCAAGGAACCGCAAGGGCCTGGCACGGGAGAACGCCGCCCGCAGGAGCCGCCCGGCCACGAGCAGAGACCTCGCCCCCGGCCGCAGGACAGAGGTGAGCGGGCGTTCCGTCCGCGCCCACCTTCAGGAGACACGACCCCGAACCGTCTTCGAGAACAGGAGGAGCTCGCTCAGCCCGTCAGACCTCTGGCAGCTTCATCACATCACAGCAGACCCTTCATTCCCTATTCCCCATGTCCCTTAATCCCCCCCCCACCCCCTCACTTTCCAAGTCACCGGCTACCCTCCCTTTAGACACATAGCTGCTGACTAGTACGGGGTGACCGAAAAGTCGTGACACCATCACAATGTCTGATAAGTCTTGAAGAAATGAGGATTTTTATATGGTAGATATCCCGACTTTCTGGTCACCCTGCACTACCAATAATAATAATAATAAATTCTGTAGCGTAATTGCTGTCACTCGGTCCCTGTGGTTTCAACCTCGCTTGTAGGGAGAGGAAGTTCCTTCCCCTGAGCAATATTATCAACCGAGAGCTTTGTATCACTGGAGTGCCTCTGTCCCCAAGGCGACCTGATGGTTGAGAGCGCCAGCAGTGCGCCGTGTGGATTAGACGTGTTGTCGGGAATCTTAGCAAAACCGTCAGCTTGAATCTTTGCGCTGTGCGTTGGAGCTACGGACTAATACTGCGCAGAAACAGGCCATTCACCCAAACAGGCCTTTCATCCCGGGCTGTGCCTCTCTCCCACACCTCACTGTGCTCAAATCCTAACCCATCTCAGGCGTCAGCTTGGCTTAATTGGCAACCCCTCTTCCTTTGAGTCAGAGGTTGTGGGTTCAAATCCCCGCGTCGGGACTTTGAGCTCATCGTCTAGGTTGACACTCCCGTTGTAATGCAGACGTGGCGATGTAATGAATTGTTAGCCTAAATTATCTGATGTTAAACCGAGGTCCCGTCTGCGCCTGTGGGTAAAGATCCGGTGGCTTCTCAAAAAGAGAGAGGAGTTTCTTTCCCCCCAGTGTCCTGGCCAACAGTCCCCCAGATAAAGTTCGTCACTCGGTCCATGATTGTTTGCTAATTGGCCTACAAAATACACAGTTACTTCACTTTACAGTGTCTCCTGTGAAGCGCTTTGAGACGTCCTCCTGATGCGCAAGTCAAATGTGAAGATTATTAGTATTATTATCACCTCTTCATTTCATTCCCAGCATTTCAGGGCTGTTCAGCTCCTCACCTCCCTACGGCTTCCCTTCCTCCGATACACTACAGCGCCTAACCCTAACCACAAGCTCACGCTCGTAACGTCGTCTTGCCTTCAACAGGCTCAACCCTGGGGTCAGGCGATGAGATATTGTCCGAAGTGATGAACTTCGTTCCCTGTTGCTTTAATTCCCTATCGGTCTGTTCCCACTTCTCGAGCTGCCTCTGTTTCTCTCCGCGCGCGGCTTGTGCTTAACACTGTCTGGTGCACAGGGGAGGCCTCAACACTTTCTGTTCTGTCATCAGGTCACAGCGAGGGACCTGCTGCCGCTGACACTGCCCCTCACGGTAAGATTTATTCGGTGTGAGGACACACGGTTAGGTGGAATAATCATAACCCTTACAATTGTTACAGCGCCTTTCGCGTCGGGAGGACGTCCAACAAACTCTTCACAGGATTTACTCTAACCTGTTTTTTTGGGGGGGGGTTGAACACAGCCTCCAGTTTGCGCACAGCAGCGTCCCACAAACAGACAAAATGATAAATCGTTCACTCAATCCACGGCTGTTCGTGGGACGCCACTGCGCGGAATTGGCTGCCGCGTTTCGCCCACAAAGTTATACAGTCAGTTCACTTTACAGTAGATTCTGTGAAGCGCTTTGAGACGTCTCGAAGACGTGATAAGGCGCTATATCAAATGCAAGGATTATTATTATTAAAGAACTATGGAATGTTTGACCCATTTTATTTGGGAGAATTGTTGGTCAGGACACCGGGGGAGAGAGAGAGAAACTCCCTTCGCTTTTCGAATAGAGCTGCGGGATCTGTAACGTCCACCTGAAGAGGCAGATGTAATTTTATTTGTTGTTGTTGTTCCTATTTTAGTACGGAGGGTGAGAGATAGCAGGTTGGAGGGGACCAGGAGTGTGTGTCTCGTGGAAGCAAAGGGTCCTTGTGTTTGTTCTTTTTGAGGCGTGATTGAGGGTTTCCTCTGAGCTTCGGTGAAGGTCTCGGGAGAGAATCTCACAATGCTTTGTCCTCTCTGTTACACAGGGGATCCCGAGGCCAAGAGGGGAGTCAGCAGGAAACCGGGTGAGTCTCGAGAGGACAGAGTTTGATCAACTTCCTTAAATCTTCCCTTTCTTTGCTCGGTTCGCCCTGACTGGGAATGGAACCCGGTTCCCCTCACTTGCGAGGCCGGTGCTCTAACCAATACACCACACCCTTGGAGTCCTGTAGCTTTATGGTTAGAGCACTCGCCTCGCAAGCGAGAGGACCCGGGTTTGATTCCCTGACAGAGCGAAAGGTTGGGCAAGTTTCCTTACTCCACACATGTTTACCTAACAGTAAGTTGGTTGTTCATCAATTGGTGGATGAGTTTTCCGGGGGTAAAAATCCCTTCAAAATAATAATAACAATAATAATAATTTGGTCGCTCAATCCAAGACTGTTTGTTGGACACTGCCGGGCGCAATTGGCAGCAAGGATTATTATTGGTTAGAGCACTCGCCTGTAAGCACCCGGCTAACAAAAATAAATCTCCCTCACCTGTGCTGGCTCCGTGTCCCGACCAGCTGTAGATGTGACAAGCTCCCATCTGCCTGTTCAGGTGGATGGTTGAGATCCCACGGCGTTAATTGGATGAAGAGCGAGGCATTCTCTTGGCCAATATTCTCCCGCATCGCTGAATTGGCCTATCCTCTCTCTGCTGCGCTGGGACATTCGTGGTCTCGATGGGCTGGTGAGTTTGGCTGCCTTCAGCTCTTTGTCAAAGCCCGGTGAGACGCTCCAACATCCCAAGGCGTTGTATTGAAAGCGGCCAATATTATTCTCTCTGTATGAGAGACCCACGACAGAAGCAGAAGGTGTCGGTTCCTTCAAAAGCAAACGAGATGGATTGCTGTTCAGAAATAATATCTTGGGACACCGTATATAGCTTGGGACATGACGTGTGCCAGGACGGAGGAAGGCTAACTGGAACAGCCTTGGAATCGGCAGATCCGAAAGCATAATATTTGGTCAACCGGGTGTCTGACACGTGCGGAAGCTCATCACCGTTGCTTAAGAATCTCCGAGCCAAATTCCATGCATCCCATCTACACATGGAGGTAGATTTTTGGAATGGAATGCGCTCTCTCCCTGTCTCTCTCCCTCTCTCCCTGGGGGGATGCATCCTGCTTACCTAATTCCGGAAAGTATTAGGCGCGGGTTGGCAAGAGCCAAGGCTTGGGGGGGAGCCCAGAGTGTGCGTTGCGATAACTGCTAGAATCTTAACCAGCTCAAACCACATAGCTTCGGCATTGACATCGCTGTCTGGCAAGGTTTCCCGCTGCTTGTCCAGTTAGGACCACCTTACCCGATAGGGCTTTGGCTCGAAGAGTTAACAGGAGCTGAGTGCTGGCGTAATACAAGGCAGCCTCTTCCTTTATCACCTGCAGTAATGCTTTGTGGGCAGCGCTGTGACTGACTGCAAGTCTGTTAAAAGTCAATCCAAACAGGAATCAAAGCTGTTACCAGCAGCTTCCGCTTCTAATTAAACCCGAGGCACAAATCATCGGCTCCGCGGGGTGCTTAGCGGGGGCAACGGTTCCTATTTTTGTTTCCTGGCATTGCATCAACTCCGTCTCTCTGTCCCCAATCCTCGTCTGGTTGGGATCTTGTGCCGCAACCTGCAGCAACAAAAGGAATGGGAAGCAAGATCCATCACCGAGCGTCACACAGGACTGTGCCCGTGAAGCTCAGCGATCGACCGCTGTGTATTGTACACGGTGCCGGCTTTGCAGAGGATTTGCTCGGCTGCCCGCGGATTAAGACACCTGGAGGTTAACTGCATCGACTGGCCAGAGTCCTGTAGCTCAGGGGTTAGAGCGTTCGCCCCGCAAGCCAGAGGAACCGGGTTCGATTCCCGGGCGGGACAGGTCAGGGCGAAACCTTAGGCAAGTTTCCTTACTCCTGATTGCCTAGGAGTAACCCGATTGTTAGTTGGTTGGCGGATCGCTTTCCGTGGGTAATAATTGCCCCCCCACCCCCAACCCCCCACCCAAAATAAATAATGTGGTCACTCAATCTACGGCTGTTTGTGGGACGTTTTCTGTGTGTAATTGGATGTCTCGTGTCGCCCACTTCACAGTGTAATCCCGGTCCCTCATTCTCTTTCGCTTTCTTGTTGTCTCTCAGGCAGCGAGTTGGAGGCTGCTCCACACGGACGTGCCCCTGGCAGCTCTGCCCCCGGGCACAGCCTCCCCGAGGTCCGGGCGGCGCCAGGCAGTGAGGGCGAGGCCCGCGGGCCTTACAGCGGCGGCTCAGAGGGCGACAGGAGGAGCCCAGCCGGTCAGTCATCATCATCGTCACCATTGTGTGTGTGTGTGTGTGTGTCACGCTCACTGTGTGTGGGTCCATGTGTGTGTGTGTCTGTGTGTGTGAGTGACTCTCATTGTGTGTGTGGGTGTGTGTGTGTGTCACGTTCACTGTGTGTGGGTCCATGTGTGTGTGTGCGTGTGTGTGTCTGTGTGTGTGAGTGACTCTCACTGTGTGTGTGTGTGTGTGACTCTCACTGTGAGTGTGTGAGTGTATGTGTGTGTGGGGGTGGGGGATGAGGCAGAGGACACTAATCCCCGGCTGCTTGGCTAAGCACGTAATAGTCTCACATCTCTGTGCAATATGAAATCTCCATTTACAGTGTGTTATGTAAGGCTGTGTCAATCACCTCCCACCCGCACGAACACCCCGTGTGCTGAGCGCGCTCGAACGTGCCAGAATAACAACGCCCTACAGGAACTCGTCCTCCCTGAAAGGCTAACAGCACCCGAGGGCAGGCTGGTGGGATCCAAGCTCGTAGCTGTTAGCAGCCGACCCAAGAGTCCTGCAGCTCAATGGTTAGCGAGGGGACCCGGGTTCGATTCCCGGGCGGGTCAGGGCGAAACCTTAGCCAGGTTTCCTCGCTCCACACCCACGCCTGTTTACCCAGCCATTGGTAGGTTGTTCGTCGATTGGCAGATAGCTTTCCGGGGTAATAATCCCTCAGAAGAAACATCAGAAGAATGATTTGATCACTCGATCCACGACGCTGCTGTGCGCCATTGGCTGCCGCCTTTCGCCCACGAAATACGCAGCCAATCCACTCTACGCTACAGTCTGCGCGGAGCTTTGAGAGCGTGTCAACAACATGATGAGCTGCTACATCGAATGCTGGGATTATTATCAAAAGCGTTCGCCGACAAACATACCCCGACACTTTAGAGTGAATCCCTGCCAAGCGCTCTGTGTGCGTTCTGATGATGTAACAAGGCACTCGCTCTGTGCGATTGTGCCGGAATTATTATTGTTAACCATTAGAACGATTACAAAATGATCGCATCGGTGTCCGTTCCGGATCGAGCTCGTGAAATAAAGCACCACTTTGACCCACCGCTAGATGTCACTATCCCACCGGGGACTTCAGTCACGTTAACCAAACTGTCCACACGGTTTGCAGAGATGTTTCCAAATAAACCCAGGAATCCAAAAAGCAACCGAACCGAACCGCGCACCGCGAGACAGACGCCCCCCCCACCACCCCCCTCTCCCCCCCCAAAAAAATAATGATCATTTTTTGGAGTGGCCACTCAATCGACCTCTGTTTGTGGGACACTGCTGTGCGCAATAGGGGCTGCCACGTTTCGCCCATGAAATACACACTTTACAGCACATTCTGTGAAGCTCTTCGAGACGTTTCAATAACATGATAAGGCGCTAAATCAAACACACGGATTATTATTTGACTGCATTTTCCCTCTACCGAGGGGTACCCACGACCTTCAGAAAGCAGCCGTTTCCCACGTGTCAGCCTTGACATTAAAAGTGGGCGGCAGCAGTGAAGGACCAAGGCAGAGAGTTTGATCTCAGGATTTAGATAACCAGCTAACAGCTTGTACTGTGTCCTTGTGATTTATGGGATCGTCGGCGCTCTTCAATTGGATTACGCTGCTATACTCCATCTGCAGCCTCCTCTGTGCACACAGCACTCGATTAAACCGATGCCTGCAAATCTGCGTGAGATAAAACTATTCTGTTAAACAACCTGCGTCCCAGTTACCTCATCCCTCCTCAGTTTGAGGCGATCCGTCTTATAATAATAATAATAATCCTTGCCTTTGATATAGCACCTTCTCACGTCTTTGTGACGTTTCAAAGGGCTTCACAGAATATACCGCGAAGTGGATTGACCGCGTATTTTGTGGGCGAAACGCGGCAGCCAATTGCGCACAGCAGCGTCCCCACAAACAGTCGCGGATTGAGTGACCGAATTATTATTCTTTTTTAAAGGGATTATTAGATATATATCAAATGCAAAGATTAGTATTATTTTTGCACAGTATGTCATTTGTGTGTCTCTCACTCTGCACGGGGGTTATTCTATTCTAGTCTCTCGCTGTATCACAGCGCTATCACGCTGGGAGAAGCTCCCTTCTCTTTTCGAATGGTTCTGAGGGACCTTGGTATAATGTCAGTGTTTAGCTCAGTGTATTCCCTTGGACGGTATGATACAGCGAACAGCACAAGCTGTTCTGTGTTATAACAACATTTACACGGCGCCTTTCACATCGGGAGCACGTCGCAAGGCGCTGGATGGTCAGGGATTTGGACCCGAGCCGGGAGTGGAGGGGGTGGAGGATCAGGAGGGGGTGGAGGGCAGGGAGGGTGGAGGCAGGAGGGTGACTGAAGGCGGGGGTGAAGAGGAGGGTCTTGAGACGGGCCTTGAAGGAGGTCGGGATGGGATTGAGGTGCAAGGACTGTGGCATGGAGACGTCTCAATGACTTGATGAGGTGCCATATCACGTGCAAGGATTATTATTGTTATTAATAATAATATTATTCTCTCCTTGCTCAGGTGGACGCCGCAACCCATCAGCCCAGAGCTCTCGTCCTCCCTCTGCTCCACACCAGCCTGTGGCTGCCCAGCCACCTCAAGCCAGTGAGTATTTCAGTCTGCATTGCCATCTCTGCGACTCAACCCACCACGGCCAAACGGGTGGCACAAGCAACAACAGCAACAACTTGAACGTACACAGCGCCCTTCACACGGGGCAGCGTCTCGGAGCCGATAACAGTGGTAGAACCCAACACCGAGCCGGGGGGAGGGAGGAGGCGACTGTAATCACAGTGGAAGAGGAAGGTCTTCAGGCATGATCTAAAAGAGGGGAAGGAGGGGGCAAGGTGGAGGGATTAGAGGGGGAGAGAGTTCCAAAGCTTCAGGGCGTAGTGGCTGAAAGCACGGCCGCCGATGGTGGTGCGGAGGGCACGAGGGACAAGCAGGAGGCCAGAGCCAGCCGAGCAGAGGTGGCGGGTAGTGGAGTGACGGAGAAAGCAGGTCAGAGAGGTAGGGAGGGAAGTGTCAGGGCGTGAAAGGATTTATAGGTGAGTGAGAGGATCCTGAAATCGATCCGTTCTGCGACAGGGAGCCAGTGGAGCCTGCCGAGGACTGGGGTGATGAGGGTACGGTATGTGATAGGTGCTTTACAAGCTTATTCGGTGAGCAATTGAGCCACACGGGGTGCGCTCTGAAATAGCTGACTCGGTTTCTGCTCTTGATTCACAGATGTGGCTGGAAGCTACCGCCCTGGCCAGGGAATGGCTCCCAGATACCCGGAGCAGAAGCCCGGTAAGAGCCCTTTCACACTGTGTGTGTTTCTGTTCGGGTTTGTGTTTGGATCTTGGAGTTCATTTGGAATCGTCGTCCCGTTAACCGGCGAGGACAGTGACTTTACCTAGAGTGCGAGAGCGCGCTCGGTGCCTGTAGCGATAATAATAATAAGCCTGGCATTTGACATGGCGCCTTATCGTGTCGTTGAGACGTCTCAAAGCGCTCCACAGAATAGGAATTGTGGAATCCTGTAGTGTATCAGTCAGGACCCGGGTTCGATTCCCGGGCAGGACAGGGTGAAACCTTAGGCAGGTTTCCTCGCTCCGCACGCCTCTGTTTACCCAGCAGTAAGTAGGAACCCTGTTGTTAGTCGGATCGCTTTCCGTCGGTAATAATCCCGCAAATAAATAATTTGGTCACTCAATCCAAGAGTGTTTGCGGGGGACGCTGCCGGGCGCTATTGGCTGCTGTGTTTCGCCCACAAAATACACAGTTAATCAACTTTACAGTGTATCCTTTGAAGCGCTTTGAGACTTCTCAGCGACGCAATCAGGCGCTGTATCAAATGCAAGGATTATTATTGTTGTATATATTCACCCCCAGCCCGGGTAGGAATAAGTACCGACCTGTTACTCTCTCTCTCTCTCTCTCTCTCTCTCCCTCTCTCCCCCCACTCCCTTCTCCTCGCCAGTGGGCGCCTCCCCTCCCCTGACCCACTCTGCAGCCCCCCAGCCCGCCAACCCGGCGGACGTCAGTTCTGCTCCAGTGAGAGAGGAGTGGGGGCCCCGTCAGCACCCATCGTACCCAGCGCCCGGCGGCGGGGCAGCCCCCCCACCCTCCTCCCGACAGCAGCTCGAGGACGAGGAGGAAGAGGAAGAGGACACTTACGACTCAGATGAAGCCAGTGAGTAACACTGGGGAGAGAAGGGTGGGGGGAGAGTGGGAGGAGGGCAGGAGAGGAAAACTGAGCAGAAGCAAAAGCAAGTCCATCTCCTTGGGCCAAATGACCTTGGTTTGTTTCCACATGTTCCAGGCTTTGCAGTTGGCTGCAACATCGATCCTTATGGTGGGGTTTGGCCCCATCACAAGGACATGGCAATATCCTGTGCTGCACTGAAGCCTGTCCCTTCCATGTCCACTGACTGCATCATGGACTCTACCCAACCCATTTCGTCCCTTGATCAAAGGTTCGACTGGATGTGTCTATCTGTTCCCCGAGTGCCAAACCCGCCAAGGCTTCAGATTTTCGAAGGTCTCATCCTACATTATTCATCCTTGATCGCTTGCACTCCACGGCCTGACATTTCCATGCTCTACGGCTCAGACCATTCTGTTCCACAGAGCATTTGATGATGGTGACATGTACCTATCTTTGCACCTGACTGTTCTGCTCCTAGCCGGATATTCACCCGATTTATGTGTGTGTTTAACACCAAGTTGTTACTTGACCGAGCAACTGTAAGTCAGCCTGGCTCGTACGGTAGCGCTCTCAGTTCTCACTCAGAAGCTTGTGGGTTCAAGCCCATATCGGGACTTCAAACTCATATAGTCTAAGCTGACACTCCTGGGGGCGTGTTGCATTATTGAAGGTGCTGTCCTTCAGATGAGACATTAAACCAAAGTCTCATCTGCTTGTTCAGCAGGAGGCTGAAGATCCCATGGTGGTCTTCAAGAAGAGAAAGGCATTTCTCTCTCCCAGTGTCCTGGCCAACAGTCCCCCAAATAAAACTGGTCACTTACTTCATGGCTGCGTGTGGGACATTGCTGTACGGCCACTTTGCTCCCGTTTTTGCCTACATAACACACAGACACTACACTTTACAGTATATCCTGTGACGTGCCTTGAGATGTCTCAAAGATGTGCTAAGGCGCTATATCAAAGGCAAGGATTATTATAGATATTATACTTTCCTTTGTTCGTCATCGATCGGTTGATTAGATTTATTGGTTGTCTCAAACAGCCACCCTTGGAGCACTGGAGTTCAATCTATTATACGACCAAGTTAACAACGCCTTGCACTGCACTATCATAAAAGCAAAGGTAAGGGTTTTTATTTTACTTCATGTAGAATAGCACGTCTCTTCCCGTTCCTGATCTGTAGTCTCTAGGGGTGTCAAAGTTTCCGGTAAATATTGAATGCAGTCCCTCCGCCTCGCCCCTTCCCTCGCCTCCTTCAAGGCCCATCTCAAGGCCCTCCTCTTTGACCGAACCTTCGGTCACCCTCCTATCCCTTCCCTCCGCCCCTCCTGATCCCAGCCCCCAGCTCGGGTCCAAATCCCTGATTGTCAAATGCCTCGGGACTTCCTCCCGACGTGAAAGGCGCTGTGTAAATGTGATTTGTTGTTATTGTTGTTCCTGCTTCCGTTCGCTGTCATTGTCTGTCATTCTGCTGCCAACTTCCAGGGGCTAAAACCCATGGATTCCAACGGTTTGGCTGACCCATACGTGAAAATCCATCTCCTGCCTGGAGCCAGCAAGGTAAAGCCTGCTATTGGATGATCTGATCTGTAGTTTCTGGTGATTTACCTGTCTGTGCTGTGGCTCTCTGTGCCTTATTGGGTTTGCTGAGCACCGTCAGACATTTTGACAGACTGTGATGTCTAGACCTTGCAGTTGGTTACAGTGCACAAGAACATAAGAAGATAGGTAGAAGAGGAGACCTTTCAACCATTGAGCTTCCTCCACTAGTTATTACACCACGGCTGATCTCCAACTTAATATCATTTCCCTGCCCTTTTAACCGTACCCACCGGTTGAGAGCTGAAACCAAGGTCTCCTGTTCAGGCCCAATTGAACATTGCCTGAAATTAGACAAGGAAAGCTTGCCAGACAGTGCTATCAATGGCCAAGCAGTGCGGTTTCAGCTGGTTAGACTCCAGTAGTTACCCCAGGGCACACTCTGGGCTCCCCCCAAGCCTTGGCTCTTACCAACCTGAGCCTAATACTTTCTGGATTTGGTAGGGTGCATCCCTTCAGGGAGAGAGAGAGAGAGAGAGAGAGAAAGAGAGCGCATTCCATTCCAACAATCTATCTCTGGGATTTCTATGTGTAGGTGGGATGCCTGGAATTCTCAGTTTGGTTTGGATTCTCTCTGTTAAGCACGGTGATGGGTTTCCGCATGTGGAGTCCTGTAGCTCAGTGGTTAGAGCACTCGCTTTGCAAGTGAGAGACCTGAGTTCAATTCCAGGCAGAGGGCGAAACCTTGGGCAAGTTTCCTTACTCCACACAGAGCCTAATAATAATCCCTCCAAAACCAAAAACAATAATAAATTGGTCATTTTCATCTACGACTGTTTGTGGGACATTGCTGTGCGCAATTGGCTGCTGCGTTCGCCCACAAATATACAGTCAACTCACTTTACAGTGTGTTCTGTGAAGCGCTTTGGGACGTCCTCCCACCGTGAAAAGCGCTATATCAAATGCAAGGATTATTATTATGTGTCAGACACCCGGCTGACCAAACAAAAATCTAGTGGAGAGAGAGAGAGCGCGAGAGAGAGAGAAAATCCAAACTAATCCCAATAAATGTCGAGAGATCCAGTGTCACAGTTCTCTGTATCGGGAGGATCTGATGGCGAGTAGCATGCGTTTTGGTCAACTTTGCTTCTAACTTGCTCGTCACACAGTCCAACAAACTCAGGACAAAGACCCTACGCAACACCCGAAACCCCGTGTGGAACGAAAGGCTGACGTACCACGGAATCACAGAGGACGACATGCAGAGAAAAACTCTCAGGTAAGAAGCTTCCACCCAGACAAATCCTCACGTCTTCAACTAATGTTTAAAAATAAATAAATAAATAATTGGTCACTTCAATCCGCGACTTTTTTTTTGTGGGACGTCACTGTGCGCAATTGGCTGTATCCTTTCGCCCACAAAACACACGATCACTACGCTTTACGGTATATGCTGTGAAGCGCTTTGAGATGTCTTGAAGACGTGATCAGGCGCTGTATCAGATGCAAGGATTATTATTATTATAATATTATTATCTCTCTCTTTTAGCCTCTGTTTGCCTAGCCGTAAGTAGGAACCCGGTTGTTAGTCGATTGGTGAATCGTTTTCCGGGGGTAATAATCCCTCCCCCAAAAAATAAATAAATAAATAAAATTGGTCACCCACATCATGGCCTTTTGTGGGACACTGTGTGCAATTGAGTGCTGCATTTCACCCACAAAATACAGTCGCAGGCGATATATCAAACGCAAAGATTATTATTATTATTATTGCTGTGAATTCATGGCCTCCATGAGCTTCAGTTCCTCTCTTTCTATTGCAGGATGTCTGTCCTCGATGAAGATAAATTTGGTCACAATGAATTCATCGGTGAGACCAGAGTATCCTTGAAAAAACTCAAGCCTGGCCAAGCGAAGAACTTCAACATCTGCCTGGAGAGAGTGGTGCCGGTAAGGAAGCCCAACTGGTTTATTGTGCAGAGAACTGGGTGAGGTAGTGGTTTAAAAAGTGGTTTAAGAACGTTTCAGACCAGTCCCAAACACCAGAGTATGTCGTCTCTCTCGTATCATAGCTTCCTAAGCACTTGGGTGAAGAGATGTCAGCGGCGGAGGTGAGGTTCCTGTTGTCTAAGTATCAAAAGATTGTATTGATGCCAGAATTGGTTGTGATAGTTATTGCACAGCACGAAAATGCATTGGGTTTGACATGATAAACACAACACATGCCCGGAGTTTCTAACCAGAGTATTCCCACAGGTGAAACGAGGGTCTTCAGTTGGCTCAGCACGAGGAATGTCACTTTACGAGGATGAGGTAAGACTTGACGCGTGGGCTGTTTTGCAACGTGTTTGCGAGTACGGGAACAGACTGTAATCAGCGCTCAGTTTCCTCAGGCCTTTCAGGAACCCATCCGCCTTCTGCAAAAGGCTTCCCTTTTGGGTGGAACCCTGGATGGAGAACTTTTGGCTTCTGGGCAGACGGGAGAGAGGCAAATCCGGCACTTTTCCCAACGTGGTCATCCGCCGTTACAGTGTATCCCGCGAAGCGCTTCAAGGCATCTCGAAGACGCGATAAGGCGCTGCGTCAAACACAAGGGTTGTTATTGTTGTTGAGGGTATGAGCGCGGCTTTAGCCTGAGGGAGATGAACAGGCCCTACAATGCTGACGCTCTCTGCCCTCCCTCTTCCAGCAATGTGAACGTGGAGCCGAAACTGAGGAGCGCGGACGGATTCTCATCTCCCTCTTGTACAACAGCCAGCAGGGAGGCCTGATCGTGGGGGTTATACGCTGCGTGCATTTGGCAGCCATGGACGCCAACGGATACTCGGATCCCTTTGTCAAAGTGTATGTAAGCCTGCATCTGCTTGGCCCCCGCCCTCGAGCCTGTCCCAAGTCCAGCCTTTGCATGCTCTTCCCCTGGGGAGCCTGCGCCTGAAGGTCCAGCCTCCGTTGCCTCCCTCAGTTGGCTTATCTCGAACCCAGCTTCTCTCGTCTCGCAAGCAGGAGGAGCCGGGTTCCATTCCCGGGTGGGTGGGGGGCAGGGGGGGCGAAACCTCAGGCAGTTTTCCTTACTCCGCACACAGGCCTCTGTTTGCCCGGCAGTAAGTTGGAACCCGGCTGTTAGTCGATTGACGAATCGTTTTGAGGGGGTAATAATCCCTTCAAATAAATAAATAAATAATTTGGTCATCAATCCCACGGCTGTTTGTGGGACCTTGCCCCATTTCGCCCACAAAATGTTTTTTTACGGTCAGCTCACTTTACGGTATTTTCTGTGAAGCGCTTTGAGACGTCTCACCGACGTGATAAGCCGCTGAATCGAATGCGAGGATTTTTTATTATTATTAATATTGTACATTAAAGACAATCAGTGTTGTGTGAAGGAGATGGTCAGATCTTTTCTCGCAGCAGCACATCAGAGCTCTAACAGAGGAGGGGAGAGAACACCAATAGGAGAAATCTCAATGTAATACAGCCCACTGTTTGTAGATGTCTAACAAAGATTGAAGGTGCAGCGAATGAAATATTTGGTCTACCTTCTTGACAGCTTCTTTCCCCACAGTATAGCAGCCTCGTGTCATCGCGTTCAATGAATAATCTTGTGATGATGATCCTTTCTCACTTCCATTTAGCTGTCTGAAGCCTGACATGGGGAAAAGGGCCAAACAGAAAACTCAGATCAAGAAGAAGACTTTGAACCCAGAGTTTAATGAGGTGAGGCTCAATCAATAATCGCATTGGTTTACACAGGGACTGTCTGAGGAGACAGGCATCACTGTCTAAAGTGGTTAGAGTGCTCACCTCGCAAGCGAGAGGACCAGGGTTTGCTTCCCGAGTGGGGCAAAACCTTAGGCATGTTTCCTTACTCCACACAGTTCTATTTACCCAGCAGGAAGTAGGAACCCGGTTGTTAGTCGATTGGCGGATCGCTTCCTGGGGGTAATAAACCCTCCAAAAGAAAATAGATTTGGTCACTCAATCCACTACTGTTTGTGGGACACTACTATGTGCAATTGGCTGCTGCATTTCACCCACAAAATACACAGTTAATCCACGATACAATATATTGTGTGAAGCGCTTTGAGACGTCTCAACGAAGTGATAAGGTGCAATATCAAGTGCAAGGATTATTATTATTATTAATAATAACTATGCCATCTCTAAGGCATCAAAATATATTGGGTGTAAATGGACTTTTACTCTACATATATGGATAATTGTATCATACACAAACAACAAGGATGCAGTTACTTACAGCCACTGTGCAACACACATAGCCAAGGAACAAAAGCAGAATCCTTAGTAGTTTTCAAGAAGAAACTAGATGGATAATTAAAATGGGAGTCGTGTGCAAACAGGTAAATTGGAATGAATGGATTGCTCTGTCAAAGAGCCAGCACAGACACGTTGGGCCTTCTTCTGTGCAGTAAATTCCTATGGATCTATAGCTAACCCTGATGGCTCTTTCAATGGATGCAATCACCCAGCGAGTATTGCCGAGATAGACTGTCTTTTTCATTAAAAAGAAAATCAACAACAAATGACATTTGACTAGCGCCTTTCATGTCGCCTTTCAAATGCAAGGATTATTTTTGGTAAATATGTTTCATTATTGTTATAAGTGAATAAACCTCCTGTTTCTGTAGGAATTCTTCTACGACATCAAACACAGTGACCTGGCCAAGAAAACTCTGGAGCTCTCTGTGTGGGATTACGATATCGGCAAAGCCAATGATTATATTGGTGAGTTCTGACTTAGAAATGAGTCTCTTAGTGATGGAAATCCCAGATGCAAAACTCAGGCTAATTTGGAGCCGTAGTAAAGTTCCAGTGTGAATTTGCTTTGTCTCACTTGAACCATTTTACTTCAAATGGATAGTTTGCTCCACGTTTTACGAACACACCAGTCATACCGCCAAAGCACACTCTAGGCTCCCCAAGATTTGGCAAGGTAAGAAGAGTGTGATAAGGGGGTGCTGGGGGTTTGTATTCCATTCCAATACACAGTGTTTCACCCACAAAATACTTTAGAGTATATCAATGAAGGGCTTTGAGATGTCTCAATGACGTGATAAGGCACTATATCAAATGCGATGATTATTATTATTCCACACATGGACATTTCCGTGTGCAGACAGAGTCTTCCATATATATATGTGTGGAACACTCTGTCAGGTTTGGAGACATACAAGGATGGTGATAGGTTTCCCAATGTGTTCGACCCTTGGCTGAAGCAGAATAAAAATGATTTCTTATTGGCTTGTTCCACCTCGCTCGGGTTTCCATTTTGTTTTCAATGCATTTCAAGACGTATTCAAGTTGTTGTTCACTTTTTATTTGTGACACATTTACCCAATTCATTAGCTTCAACAGATACCACTCTTTTTTTTAGGCCAGATCCAACCAACCTTGTTGATTGGAAGAGATTGAAAGGAGTGGCTGGGCAAATTGGTAGGAGCTGGATTAATGCCAGGTTAGATAACAGCAGTTAAATAATTTAGCTAGAACAATGTGAAATGGGCCTCGGGGTTAATCTGCAAGGAGAGACACGTGAAAACATTTTTCTTAGGTCACGCACTTGTCTGTCAGTGACAGATTTATAGAAACAGGAGGAGGCCATTCAGCCCTCGAGCCTGTTCTGCCATTCAATTAGATCACGGCTAATCTGTACTTCTACTCCAATTATCCGCCTTTGCACCATATCCCTTGAGCTAACAAACATCTATCCACCTCAGTCTTGAAAATTGTAATGGATCCAGGCATAATCCACAGCCTTTTGGGGGAGGGAGAGCGTTCCAGATTTCCACTGTAGCCTCGGTGTGAAAAAATGCTTCTTGATTTCACTCCTACAATGGGCTGACTCTTTGTCTGCTCAAGCTTATCAAATGGCGTGAAATTAAAACTTATTAACACGGGCTGACACGTCCTATAGCCCTAAACAGCTCTAGACTGTGGGTGGAAATCTGAAACAAAACAGAAGTCACTGGGAAGGGAGAAAGGAAAGTAGGTTGGTGTTTCAGGTTGGTGACCTTTTGTCAGTTCAGTTCTGACAAAAGGTCAACGGCCTGAAATGTTAACTCAATCTTCTCTCCATAGATGCTGTCTGACCTGCTGCGTGTTGCCAGCCCCTCCTGTTCATATTCCGTGCTGAGCATTGACGTTCTCGGGAGCTGTCAATCTGCCACTGAAACATTGACGTGCTTAGATCTTACAAGATTCAAGTCTCGTTCGACTCCCCTTTAATCTAAAGCGCTTTAATGGAACAAGTAGCTTTGATTAATTCAGATAAACCCTACTGGTTTCCTCTTATCCAAAAGATTAGCTCCAGCCCTTCAGAATGTTAAGGTCATTAAACTGTTATTGAATGGTTCGAGTTACAAGATTAAAGTCCTGCATTAAACGGCAAAGGAACTTGCCCAGTTCTCGAGAGAGTTTGGAAGTTATTTACTGATTAATCCTTGTTTTGTTAGCCCCTGGCAGCACCAGAGGGAAGGAGCTCTTCCCACACATAAATTTCCCTCCATGCCACAAGTAAGAAAAGCTACTTTTAATTTGTTTTCCTTTAAATAATTTTTTTGTCCTGTTGTCAAGTGGGTGAGATCATCACTGGGTTTTATATTCATACTGTGCGTTCAAGTGATGGGTTTAACTGCTTCGACTCCAGCAGTTACCTCCAACGCACACTCTGGCCTCCCCCCAAGCCTTGATTCTTGTCAACTTGCGCCTAATACTCTCAGGAATCGGGTAAAGCAGGATGTGTCTCTCCAGGGAGGAAGAGAGAGAGAGCGCATTCCATTTTTTATTATTGTGGAGTCCTGTAGCTCAGCGGTTAGAGCACTCGCCTTGCAAACAAGACACCTGGGCTCAATTCCCGGCAGGAAGAAACCTCGGGCAAGTTTTCTTACTCCACACGCCTAATAATAATCCCTCCAAAACCAAAAATAATAAATTGGTTGTTTTCAATCCACGACTGTTTGTGGGACACCACTGTACGCAATTGGCTGCCGCGTTTCGCCCACAAGTGTACGGTCAATTCACTTTACAGCCTATTCTGTGAAGCGCTTTGAGACGTCGAGAAGACATGAAAAGCACTATATGAAATGCAAGGATTATTATTATTATATTCTCTGAAGTGCTTTGAGACGCCTCAACAATGTGATAAGCTAAATCTAATGCGAGGATTATTATTAGTTACTTTCATACAAGACTCTCAGGCTTATTGCAGACCAAACACATACTTCATCCTTGCCCTTGAGGTGTTCTTAGTTTTCTTTGTGTTGTTGTGAAACACAGTACAATTTTTCTCCCTCAAAATTGGACCATTGCCAAGGGTTTTGTAAATGTGCCTGGATTATAGAGAAAGGTCTTGTAGTTTTCTAAGTTTTTTTTATCATTTTAAAATATCGTAAAGTACGACACAAGAAATTACTGTCGAGTGGAGCAGTTTGTTTTTTGTAGATAAACCAAACAGCAAAGTCCCACAAAGAGCGGCGAAATAAACAACCATTTAATTGTTGACCGCTGAACAATTTGGTAGTTTAAACATCCTACGTTGCAATGTAATCCTTTCAATTAGGAATGTATACGGCTGATTGGAACCACAGGAAAGACTCAGGCACATTTTATACCTACGTTAAGAAGAAGAATGTTCTGCGTATTGCTTTACAGTAGTATCCATATCACCGTTTTGGAAGCAATAATTACACATCTTTGCATCCCACAAACAAACCAAAAACATAGCTTTGGTCCAATTCTACCCTGTTTAACACACTGTATTTTGAAATTCAGTCGACATATTGCCAATACATTGAGTCCACGATCATGAGATTTGTCTCAGGTGTATTATATTGGGAATAAATTGGAGTGGAGGGAGGGGCCGTGTCTATTTCTAAATATGTGTTAGCAGAAGTTCTTTTTTTTCTAGTCGGCCAGGTGTTTGACGCGTTGCAGAAACCCATCAGGGAGTCCCGGTAGCATAGTGGTTGCAGCCCTCGGGTTCGATTCCCGATAATAATCCCCTCAAATAAACAAATCATATAGTCACTCAATCCACAACTGTTGGTGGGGACGCTCCTGTGCGCAATTGGCTGCCGCATTTCGCCCACAAAATATAGAGTCAATTCACTTTATACTATAGTCTGTGAAGCGCTTTGAGAAGTCTCAACGACGTGATAAGGCGCTCTACCAAATGCAAGGATTATTATTGTTGTTATCTGTTCTCTCTTTGCAACAGGCAGCATTATACTGGGCATTACTGCGAAAGGAGAGTGCTTGAAGCACTGGTACGAGTGTCTGAAGAACAAGGATAAGAGGATTGAGCGTTGGCACACACTGCACAATACAAACCCTATTCCCAGTGACTGATCTGCACAAGCTGGAGCCTATGCATTAACATTCATCTATCAAATCCACTTCCTTTTTCCCCTCCTTTCTCTTCTCTCCATCCCCCCACCCCCTCTCTATCTCTCTCTAATGTTAAAGTACATTCAGCCTGGGTTTATATTGCTGCAAGTGAAGCAATACTGTTTCCAATGCACTCCATTCCCAGGCCTACAGATCATCAGAAATTGCTTAACAGGGATCCTGTGCATGCACGTCTTATATTGCGAATTGTGCATGAGGTGCGCAAATCGCATTAAACATCAAGCTTTGCCAGTTTTGTGTTGACAGCTCCGGGCAGAGGTGAGTCAGTGAAACTCTAAATGCCTCGGTTTATCAAGTGGTAAGGCAGGAACAAGCCGGTTAGGCGATTGGCATATCGCTTTCCGGGGGTAACAATCCCTTCTAAAAATAATAATAATAATAATAATAATTTGGTCACTCAATCCACGACTGTTTGTGGGACGCTGCTGTGCGCAATTGGCTACCGCCTTTCGCCCACAAAATACGCAGTCAATTCACTTTACAGTATATTCTGCGAAGAGCTTTGAGACGTCTCAACAATGTGATGAGGCGCTATATCGAATTCAACTATTATTATTATTATTGCTGTGCCTCCCCCCCCCCCACCCCCCACTCCGCCCGAAACAATTACACTTGTTTGACATCCCAGTCCAGTGTCTCCAAGCTGCTTCGAACTCCATTCCCCTCTATTCACACAACCTTATCTTAGCAACACATTGGGACCATGTTCAATTGACTGGCACACAGCAGTTTAAACCCAGCCATTAGGTAATGTAGGACGTGGCAGGCACAATGTTATTGAAGGAGTGTTTGACAGACTGTTTTGTGCTGCAAATGATACGACAACATGTAATGACACCAATGACACAGGCTTGGGGCAAAGGAGTGGGAGAAATAATGCCAGCTTTCTCATCGTCTATCGTGTTGGCATACAGCTGCCACAGGGTACCCTGTCTGTACCCGGGTAGAGCGCATGCTGGTTCCACGCGATCTATCTTTGCGCTGATCTGCACTAACTTTTGCAACTGGAACTCGTTCTGTTGAACTTACAAAGCTGGTTAACCAATACCACATTGGTTGGTGGTCGGGCCTTCTGCCACTCTCTGGAAATCCATCACGCAGTCCCTCTGCCTCACCCCCAACCCCCTCCCCCCTTGCCACCTTCAAGGCCCATCTCAAGACCCTCCTCTTCGACCAGCTCGGTGGTGGTGGTGGTGGCGTTGGGGGGTAAATTGTTAGGTGCTAACTTCCAAAACCCATGGTCATCGCAAACTGCAAGACCTTAAGACTTTCAATCAATCTCATGCGACAGGAACCAAAATGTCACCCACAGCAACTCTGTGACCGGGACCTGTCAACAGACGTTATCCACCCACAAAATACACAGTCACTACACGTTACAGTATATTCTGTGAAGCGCTTTGAGACGTCTCAGTGACGTGATGAGACGCTGTGTCAAATGCAGGGTTATTATTATTATTATGCACCACAAACATGACTGTCTTCCACTGGGTGACATATACACACTGCATTCCCTGCAAACCCACCAAGTTAATTGCAACTCATTCGAGCTGTGAGCTGCTTCAAACAGTTGGAGCTGAGCGGCTAAGCCGCAGGAATTACAAACGGTTTCCCTTCGTACAGTGTTTGCTCAATTCTGCTGAACTGAGCAGCTTCTCTTCCAACCATCAGACAACCAGCTTCAGACACTGAGGCTCGTGCTCCCACCGTAATCCTGCTGGGGTTGATCTACGGTCCCTCAGTGTCATACCTTGACCATTAACCGCATCCTTGTTAGCTTTGTGTCGATCGGTTGGTTAGAGGTGGTCGGGAAGTAAGACGGTTTTCAGCCAACGCCTCCTGGTGTGTCGAGCTGAAATAGACCATTTCCCTCCGCGCACAATGGCAGATTAGTGGGCAGTGCCAGGGAGGGTCTGTTCTGCAATCACCGTAACCAACTGCTCTAAAACACCAGAAAAAGGGTGAGAAGACACCAGCATTCAGTGGATAATCTCCTATTAGGACAGTTAGTCTGCCTGGAATGGCGCTATATGAGTGCAAGTTGTTGTTGTTGATGTTTTTAGGCATTATAATGCTGATATGGACAAATGCGTTAAAAAAAATCCAGTTTAAAAATGATGCAATAACATCATTTGGGTTTTCAGATAGACAGTGGGTTAAAGACGCTGAATTGAGCTGCCACTATACTGTTTGTGGGACACTGCTGTGTGCAATTGGCTATCGCGTTTCGCCCACAAAATGCACAGTTAATCTGCTTTACAGCCTGTGAGATGAGACAGTGGCTTGGATACAGTAGCTTTTCCTGTTATGTGTATGATCTGCCTCCAGGTTTTACACAGAAATAATTGTTTTGGATTCCAAGCTATTGAGTGGGACAGAAAGATATCTGGAAACAGTGACTTGTCACTTCAGGGAATCATTTGCTCAATCCAAAAAGTGGCTTAACCTCAGCGAGGGAGGCGTTAGGGCCAGATGATCTGGATAGCATCTGATGTTGTATTTGTTTCTTTGTTGTCTGAACATTTCCACGTGCTTTGTTGTTGGAAAAGTTCCCCGAACTAGATCACACTTTCTATGCACTTTGGGAAAAAAAAATAGTCTGCAGGCCGGCATGAGGCCGGGTTTTTTCAGTCATGCGATCTTTGAGTTCCAGTCTTTTTTTTTGCCGGAAAACAAAAATGGAGTCCTGTAGCCATAAAATACACAGTTACTACACTTTACAGCATATTCTGTGAAGCACTTCGGGACGTGACAGTCTGTGACAATTGGAAGCCCTCCGCGCTGCAAGAAATTGCTACACGTGCGGAAATAATCCAAGCTCATTTGGGTGTCAGTTCAGCTCAGTTAGAGTTCGGTTTAGTCAGAGGCATTCTTGAATAGAATTCAAATCAGAAGACATCATTTGTTTGCTGGTTCGGGCACCGGTTTAGAACCCATCTGGGGTACATCATTTCTGCCCACTTCCAGAGCAGGCACATGCCCACAGTACAAAACCTTCCAGAATTAAGTGATTTGGAGCAACTTATGTAGGAGAGGGCGAGCTTTTCAGGGGTTGGGATTTAGGCATTTTGTTGAAGCGTAGCAGGGGACGTTTTGATTTTTCCTGCTGTATAATTTGTGCTGTGAAGGTCACAGCAATGGATTTCCTAGCGTGAACATTACTGCCTTAATGAGTACAAAATTATTTCCATCCCCAGCAAATAATAGTTGACAGAAGTGAGAATAAGCTTTGCTGTCCATGGATGGATTGCGTAAGAACTTATTTAACTAGATTTGTCAGAGTTACGCAAGCAATTTGCTTGGAACAGAGAACATCGGCTGTCTCTCGATTGCTAAAAACCTTATCTCGGTGTCATTTGCCCCGTTCACAAACCTGGTTGGTTGTGTTTCATGGCTCGCCAATATCTGCTGTGCGCAATTGTGACAGGAACTCTCAACGTTCAATCCACGGCCTTCACCCTCAGTCCCAATCCATCTCTCAGTCAGTAAACCTCCACTCAAATCAGGTCACTACTTTGTGACCAACTGTTTAAATTAATGAGCCACGTGGAAATGCTCCCTTTTACCAGGTCTGTCTTTGTTGAAAATTGCGTGGTTCGACTAACCAAAGCCCTTTGTCTGAGTCCACATCTGCTGTCTGGTAAAGGATCAACAAGTGAGAAATGTGAGCTTGGTCGGTCATTGTGCAGAAAGACAGCAATCAGTCACGTCACCTTGGAGCCTGTTGGAAATATAAGCTGGATGGAGAGAGCTCGTACAGCAGTCAGCAAACCTAACACTGACTTGAGGAAGTGGAGGTACCCTTTGGTCTATGGGAACACAAATTAAAGTCACTCGCCAACAGACGAGCACAATTTAATCACAGCGATAACCATGTAATAACTATGTATTGATGTAGCAGTCTGAAGCATGTAAGGTGTCTGAATTGGATGTTTTACCATGTCAGCCATTGTCTCCTTGCTGTTAGGAAATAGCCCAGAAGGCAGGTTTGGTCAGAAGGAAAATGTTACTCGACGGTAACTTTAGGAGTAACTAAGTCATTATTTTATGGAGTGGGAACGCGACAGGTGGAAGGGATTACTAAAGAAGGGAGATTAAGGCTGGTACAATGGGTTGATATTCTAGAAGGACAAAAGCGAACCAAATAACCTTCTTTATTGAAATCTCTCTTGAAACCTTTGAAAAGCTGATGAATAACGTTAAGTCTTCCAGATTTCTCTCCAGAATTCTGGCTTGCCACGTTTCGACAGGAGCTTCCAGTTGAACTACTTGCTTTACTACCTGTGGTCTTGGCTTTGTCTGTGCGCAATTGGCTGCCCCGTTTCGCCCACAAAGTAACACGGTCAATTCACTTTACTGTATATTGCGTGAAGCGCTTTGAGACGTCTCGACGACATGATAAGGGGCTATATCAAATGCAAGCTTTATTATTGTTACTCACTGGAGGTTTGAACTAGTGACAGATCTACCCTCATTTTCATTGTTATTTGGCTTCATGAATTTTTATGTGACACTATCGCCTGCTGGACATGTACTGGTCTGCGTAAGCACTATCTTGCAAATTAAAACGCTTCGATATATCAGTGAGAAAGCAATGTCACTATCCTCACTGATGCCCCGATTGTATCACTGGTCCAGAAATCCATTACGTTTACATTGTGGGGGCGAAATCTTTAGTGCTACCTTTGTAATAACTTGTCAAACCAAACCTGCAGCTCCACTATGTCAGTGAGCGAGGGGCACATGATCAGAACAGGCTCCCTCGGGAGACCAGACGGTGGAAGCAAAAAGTTTGACTCTTTTGAAAGAAAAAGAGATAGATTTCTGTTCGGAAAGAATATCTTGGGATAGATGCGGTATATAGTTTGGGACACGATATGTGCAAGCGATTGCCAGGATGGTGGCAGACGAACCAGATGGACTTTGGTCTTCTTTCATCTATCAATTCTTATATTCTTAAGTAATATTGGTTGGTGTGATGGTATTGATATTCAATAGTAATGTAGATTCACACACTCACTGATTTGCAGATTTCCCCCTTTCCTACTCACCTAAACTTAAATAGCGACACTCGTCTTCAATCCTAGCGCTTACATAAAATCCTAACCAATCTCACAGGAACTCCATTGAGATTTATTGCTTGGCTCAAGTCGTAAATAGTTTTGCCTCTCGTTTGCTTCGTGTGAAGGGTTTAATATGCTAACAAAATGCACAGTCACGACTCTACCGTAAATGCTGTGAAGGGCTTTGAGGTATATCAAATGCAAGGAATAATAAAAACTCAAACAATAATCCTTGCGTTCGATATAGCACCTTATTACGTCT